CGGCAGCGGCGGGGACGACAGCATGGGCGGCCCGCGGGCCTGGACGCTGCTCTGCCTCGGGCTCCTGCTCCCGGGAGGCGGCGCCGCGTGGAGCGTCCCGGGCGCCCGGTTCTCCGGTCGCAGGTAAGTCTCCTCTAGGTCTGTGCAACCCCGGGACAGGGGTGGGGAGGGGAACCGGACCCCAGCTGCGTGCAACCCCGGGTCTGAGACGGGGAATCGGACCCCAGCTCCGTGCAACCCCGGGACTGAGACGGGGAACCGGACCCCAGCTCCGTGCAACCCCGGGACTGGGACGGGGGACCTGACCCCAGCTCGGTGCAACCCCGGGACTGGGACGGGGGACCTGACCCCAGCTCCGTGCAATCCCGGTACTGGAGCGGAGACCTCTCTCCCACATCGGTGGCAGTCCCGGACTGAAGCAGGGGTTCTCATCTCCATACCATAAGGGTGGGGGCGGAGACCTGGTGACCTGGTCACCCAGTGCTCTGGAGAGCCTGCTCACCTACCCATGTAGGAAAGGACAGACAGCTTCCCCTGCTCCACCCCTGAGATCCCAGAGCCACCAGAAGGTAAACCCATGCCATTGTAACCAACCCCCCCCCACACACACACACAGGACTTCTGTGGGCCTGGCCCAAGGGCCCCGTTCCTGCACGTGTAAAATGCCAGGGTCACCCTTTCGCCAGCCATTCAGGGCTCCCCCTCCCCTTTTCCCTGTTGCTGGCTTTTTTTAGTGCCCCATCTATTTATTTCGCTTGGAGGAAGGCCTGGGGTGGAGTCTGCGCAGTGGGTCAGTGTCAGAGGCCCCCCCTGGGACCTGGCATTTGGTTGGAACTCCCAACAGCCTGTGACTCTCTGCCGGCCTTTGTGGAGTCTTTCCCAGGACAGGGTCCTGTGGGGCCTTTTCTAGACAGTGTCTTTCAGGACTGAAGAATGTAGGGAAACCCGCCCCCATTCAACAGAGGAGCAAACTGAGGCCAGTGACGGCCCATGGGCTATTAGTGGAAGAGCCGGCATTCAGATTTGCCTTCTGGTCTCGATGGCAGAGTCTGAACCTGCCCCGGCCCCTGCTCTGCCTGCAGCCCCTGGCCCCGTCTCCGGGACAGACCATGGGGACTAGCCAGGCCTCTTGGGCCTTTCAGCCCATTCAAAGGCCTCTGAGGGCCCCGACCCCCTGCGGACTCAGTTCTTTCATTCTTTTCAGAAATGTCCCTTTCTCAGTGGTCAGAGGCCAGCAGGTCCCCGGGCAGCTAACGAAGCAGGTGACCTTAGTAGGCCCAGAGGGTAGAAGCCGCAGAGGCATCGGGGGCCAGAAGAGCAGTTAGTTGTCTGGCATGGGGACAGCTGTGTGGCAGGCGTCACAGCACCACCTACCGTGTGCCAACCACAGCTGGTTTGGGTTGGCACTATTCCTACATCTGTAGCCTCTAGAACCTTCCCAGCTGCCGTCCCAGGCTCCTTCTTCTTGTGAGCTGTCTCATAGAGAAACAAAGGTTGGGAGATTACCTGTCCCTGTCCGTTGAGCGAGCCCCCAGAATCCCAGATGCTGACGTGAGAAGGATTAGGAATCTGGGCTTCCCAGAGTCAGATGGGGTGATGGATGAGAAAGCTTACAGCCATAGTCCCCACCAGCCAGCCCAAGGCCACACCTTCCCAGCTGTCCTCGGCATCCCCGGGGCTTCCTGTGTGGGAACTTTGCCTGTGGGTAGGTATCTGGCCTTCACTAGGGTCTGCTTCGGTCTCTTTACAGAAGGCGGTCACAGCGGTCTGTGTCACATAGCCCTTCGGGCAGTGTTCTCACTCCCATTTTGTGGACACAGAGAATCGCAGCCACGGGCCTCAGTTTCCTCTTCTGCTTGTCTTGTGTTTGAAGGTCTGCTCTGAGAGTGAAAACCAGTGCAGGCCGCGCACATGGATTCCCACTGTGACCAACTTTCGGTAGGGTAGGGGCCTAACACTGGAGTTAGCTGTGGTCCCGGCTGCCAGGACGTCCCCCTCATGGCCCTGTCCCAGCATCTTGGAGACAGCATGGGGATGTCGCGCCCCAGTCAGCCCTCTCCCTCCACTTCCAGCCAGGCGCCCCAGGCACCCCTTGGCAGCTGAGGCACTGGAGGCAGAAAAGAGGCTTTGTGCCTGAGGAGGGGGTGGCCTGGGAAGGCATCCAAGGGGCCACCCCAACCCCAGGAATGTGGTGAGACTCTGAGCCCCCTGCAACTAGGGTGCCCAGGGGCTGAGCGGGGCCACCTTGGAACACGTCGATGCCGCCAGTCGGCGTCCCCTAGTAGGACTGCTTCCTGCCTCTGTGCCCCCCCCCCCCCCGCGCCAGGCTCAGCCCTGTTTCTCTGAACAGCTCCTGCATTCACAGATCCCAGTCTATGCCCACATGGCTAACCCCAGGCAGGTGCCCTCTCTCAACGCCCTGGAAGCCCCTGACCCCCTCCTTCTAGGCTGTCATCAGCCATGGCTGTCTGTGACACCTCAGGCCGGGAAGAACTGACCCCAGGTAGGGCTCACTGAGCACTTTGCGTGGAAGCCATTCTGCTCTCCCCATTTGCAGATGGGCACAACAAGGTCGGAGCCGGTCAGGACCATGTCCATGACAACGGCAGGAGACTGCATCGCAGTACTGGAGCTGCCCACTGGTGCCGTTCGGGGTCTGGCTCTTCGGCGTCACCCCACCCCCACTGGCCTGTCTCCGTTCTTTCCTCTCCTTTTCATAACGGCCCTTGGCCCCCGGCCCGCTTGGCTGCCTCCTGCAATTAGTTCCTATCGCTGTTCCGGATCACAGCCCTGGGCCCTGTGGGGACAAAGTCCCCTGGGCCCCTCGACACAGGGAGTGGAGGACGGGCGGGCGTGCAGGTCCACTGCAGAGGACCGCCGCCCGTGCCAGGCTGAGCTGGTCTGGCCTGTTTTTATTCCCTTCTCAGCGGACTCTGGAGGCTCTGGAGGGCCTGAGTGGGCAGAGGTGGGGGACCAGGAAGGGATGTGTTGTCTCCTCCCAGCCCTGCCGGTGACCCACCTCACAGCTCAGCCTCACCTGACTCCTGGGCACCTTTATCCCTGACCACGCCTCAGAAGGAAGTCCTCAGGGATGGCAGGGTATCTGAGTATTGCATCTCTCTCTGAAAACCTTGAGTTTTGACTTCTCTGCCCGGGCTGCTGTGTTCTCGGTCATGAAGTCATTCAACAAACACTTCTGAGCAGCCCTGAGTTGAATTCATCCCAGCACTCATGGAGGAGAATATAGCTCAGGGCTACTGTGCGTGGCTGAGGAGACCTCAGTCCTGCCTGGACCTTGGGGTTAAGACTCAGAGGCTGAGTGGGAGTTGCCAGAATAAGGAAGCAGGGCTCTACCGATGGATCCTGAACATCCAACGTGGGAAAGGGGCCGCATGGCCCATGAATGCTCAATAGATGTGAGCCGCTGGAAGGATGCAAGGAACAGGGCTTGCAGGACAGTGGGGGGTCGTGGTGGACTTTGGGGTCCATGGCAAGCGGTGACCATATCTGATACATGCTTTGCAAAAGGCTTCTTACAGGGACCACTGAGATGGCTCAGCAGGTGAGTGCTGTTCAGTTCCCAGGGCCCACCTTAGAAAGAGCAAACTACTCCCACAAGTTGGCCTCTGACTTCCATACACAAGCTTGGCAGGCACACACACACACACACACACACACACACACACACACACACGCATACAATATGCACGTACATGCACACACAAATGTACATGCACATACATGAGTACACATACTTACATGCACACAAATATGCAAATGCACATGCAAACATATATACATATACACACATACATGCATAGGAATGCATACAGTCATACACACACACACACACACCAAACCTCCTGCTATTTCTGGAAGTGGGCAAGGGCAAGGCTTGGGTTTGTGCTCTGGCCCCTGAGGCCGACCACCAGATAGAGGAGGCAGTCTGCTGCGGACCTTGAACTCCACCTGGTTTGAGTGTCCCACACGGGATTCAGGCCGAGTTCAGCAAATAGCTAGGAACAGCACGAAACCGTTAATTAAGGAAGACAAAGAAGCTCCTGTCCCCTGCCCCCCAAAAGAACACCTGAGATGATCGCAGGGTTTCTAGGACTGCCCCTAGCCTAGTTCAGAGCTGGGTGTGGGGGATGTTCCTGTGCATGTGAAGTGTGGCTGTATGTGCTTGTGTGCACACACGCTCTAATGCCTGTGAGCCCTGCCGGGCATGCCTCTGCCAGGGTGTGTGTGTGCACACGTGTGTATGGTGAGACTATCTGGCACTGAGGTCAGAGGACATGACCTTAGTCTGTCTGTCCATAGGGAGTGTGTGTGTGTGTGTGTGTGTGTGTGTGTGTGTGTGTGTGTGAGACACATTTGCATGGTGGGCAGTCTTTTCTTCAGGAACATGTGAAAATGTAAAAAAAATTTGTTAAAAAATGTTTAAAAAAACAATGAGGGGACAGAGCCCCAGTGATCACGCCCTGCTCCATCTTGTCCCTGCAGCTCATTCCCTGTGGCCTCCCAGGATCCCCTAGCATGGCCACCCATCCAGGGCCATTGAGGTCACCCATGAGCTGCAGGCTCCATACAGACTCCACCTGACCTCCAATGTGGGCCTTGATCTTCACATACAAGTCTGTGTGTGTTGTGGGTCTGTGCACGTCCTCACCGGCACATTTCCAAGCATTTGTAGGCACACATGCCCTCGAGGGTGCTTCCACCAGTGTGTGCACACCAGCATCCCCATGCTGAATGTGTGAGTTTCAGTGTGTGTGTGTGTGCCTGTGTGTGTGTGTTGGTGTGATGTGTCACACACGTGTGTGGAGATCAGAGGACAACTCTGGGGAGTTGGTTTTCTCTTTCCACCTTTATGTGGTTACGAAGGATTCAACATAGGTCATCGGGGTTTGCCTCTGAGCCATTTGCCATTCTATTTAATTTTTCTGAGGTGGGAGTCTTGTTTTGTCACCTAGGCTGGGCCAAGCGATCCTCAACTTTAGTCTCCAGGGTACACACAGTGCAGGTCAGACCACCGGGCCTAGCTAGGGAGCGTCATCCGTTTCCCCCCACTCCCTGACGCTCAGACCCCCTGTGGTTCACCCCCACTCCCTACACCCCCTTATCATGTAGAATTAGACCGCTGGGTTGTGCTTGTCACCACTGTGTGTGTGACAGGTCAGGTACCGCCTACTGATCCCGATGTCCCCTCTGTGAGGTAGCTAGATACAGTGTCTAAGCACAGATGACCGACCCATCAGGATGCCGAACTGCACACACTGGGCACTTACTATATGCTAGGGGTATATAAATGGTTCTCTACAAAGCCAGAAAGACATGCCTCCATTCTAGAGAGGAAACTGAGACCCTGGGAGGAGAAGACAACATGTCACCAAGCTGGGACCACAGAGCCAGATTTGAGCCCAAGAATGTGGCCAGCGGGGCCTGGCCTTTGACTCCATTCCGGGGCCTTGGTTCTCATCTCCTCCGTGTGTTGGTTAAGACATGGTTGGTGGCTCTGTGAAGGCACCAGCCTGGGAACCTGCTGACCTTGGGCTCAAGGCCGTGAAGGATAGTCTGCAGGGGAAGACAGCCCAGGCTGAGAAAGGTCACCTGACACCGTCTCCTCCTTCCTGAGCCCCAACAAACTACCCTGGGCTCCTGACCTCAGGCTGGGCTGAGGGCTGCTGAGCACCTGGAATGTCCCTGTCCCCTCCCTGCCCCAGTCCAGCAGCCCCCACCCCCACCCAGCTGCCCTAGCTCCACCCACAAGGAAGGGAAAGTCTCAGTCTGTGGGGCTGAGGATGGTCCCTTAGCCCTCTGGCCTCACCGCCGGAACCAGTCAAGGGGAGGAAAGTCCAGGGAAGGGACAGACAGGGCAGGAGCAGGAAAGTGAGTATCATCACAGCACTGGGAATGGTACAAGCCTGGGACTAGCTTGAGCCGCTACCAGACCATGGCAAAAGGCTAGGCCCCTGTGGACTAACCTGAGAACCAGCTGTCACACACAGCCCAAAGCTGCAGAGCAAGGGCCCTTCCAGAAAGGGCGAGAGCTTGTAAAATGGCACATACCTGCGGTCCCTGAGTTAGGAGGCAGAGGCAGGAGGATTGCTGAGACCAGTGTGGGATACTTACTGAGAACCTGTCTTAAATAAACAAAGAAAAATAAAGAGATAGCTTCCGTGCCTGTGTGGCTAGGTGCGCACCACCCTAGCTTAAACTCTCCGGGTCAAACCGCCACCCCTGGGGCTGGCCGCTGTCCACCTCAGACACTGGCGGGAGCCTGCTCGTTGCCCTTGCTGCCCATGAGGAGCTGCCCTTCCTTCATTTAAGTCTTGCACCCTGATGAAAGGGCCGCTTCCCACAGGGGGAGACCGAGGCTCTGGAGCTGAGTGCTCTCTCTGTGGGTGGTTGTTGGTCACGGCCTCAGTGCCCGCTGACCCCAGAGCCTGCCTCTTCACCCCTGACTGGAAATGTTTCTCCTGAGAAATAACTTTGAAAAGGTATGCTTCTCAAAGGCTTCCACTGGTGGCAGGGGGTGGCGGGGGCAGTAGTTCACTGTTAAAGTCCAGAAACGAGGAGTAGAGCCCCGATGATCACGCCCTGCTCCATCTTGGCCCTGCAGCTCATTCCCTGAGGCCTCCCGGGATCCCTTAGCATGGCCAACCCCATCCAGGGCCACCGAGGTCACCCATGAGATGCAGGCTCTGTGGAGACCCCAGCTAAAAGACACAGAGAGCCCAGTGGTTTCCCTCCTGGGCTCCGGAGAACACATGGTCCCCTTCACTCAGCCTCTCGGAGTCCTGGGCCTGCCACTTGAGCGTCCTCTCTGTGGGTTTTGTCTCAGGAACTGGTGCTCCTACGTGGTGACCCGTACTGTCTCCTGCCATGTGCAGAATGGCACCTACCTCCAGCGGGTGCTGCAGAACTGCCCGTGGCCCATGGGCTGCCCTGGGAGCAGGTGAGTGGCACTGGTGGGGAGGGAACGCTGTCTCTTCAGGTTGGGGCACAGCACGGGCAGAGAAGGCCTGAGTGATCTCAGGAAGTCTGGGGGCCTCAGGAGAGGTGAGACAAAGGCAGGCATTGTGGAGGGAGGAAACTTCAGGGCCTCTGCACGGAGGGATCGTTCTAGAGCCGTGAGCAGCACAGTCCAGCCAGCCGTTGAAATCCAGACCCCATGGCCAGGGTGGGCAGTAAAGAGCTAAAGCCAGGGATGGAATGGAAGACGAGGGCACCAGGGCGCCCAGAGCAGCGGGAAAGCTGGTGGAGGACTGTCTGAGCTGGGACCCCTGGCTTGTCTTTCAGCTACAGAACTGTGGTGAGGCCCACGTACAAAGTGATGTACAAGACAGTGACTGCCCGCGAATGGAGGTGCTGCCCTGGACACTCAGGGGTGACCTGTGAGGAAGGTAGGAAAGCCTGGGACCTGGGACCGTTTGTGAAGTGCCTCCCATTCAGACGATGCCTTCTGTCCCCTCATGGCGACAGCTGGCCTCTAAGGGGCCTGGGAAATTTTCACATCTGCTGTGTCGTCTCCTTCTAATTTTGATATCTGCTGTGTCGCCTTCTTTTAAGTTATGCCATCCCAAGTCTTTCCTTCTAACTTGTGTCAGCCAGCTTTCCGTCGATATGACAAAATACGTCGTGCACTGCATTTACATAGCAAAGGTTTATTCCGCTTCACGTTTGGAGTTTCCAGCGCAAGACTGGTTGGCCTTAGGGCTTTGGGCCCGTGGGCAAGACAAGACATCATGGCGGGAGTACATCTATCTCATGGCTAATGCAGAAAAGAAGTGGATGTGGGTTCAGGTTCTAGTGCCCTGTAAGTGCACATTCTCAGTGGCCTAGAAGTCTCCTGCTGGACCCACCTCCTTCAAAAAGAGTTTCTTGTAGTCTTGAACTTTCTTTTTCTTCCTTTCTTTCTTTCTTTCTTT